TTCGCCTACATTTTTCTTCTTTGTACTATGAATTTACGCTAATGCTCTTCAAAAGAGACAAGGAGGGGCTGGGAGGGTGCGAAGTGAGTAAATTGGCAGAACAGTCGGACACTTCTAAATTTCTTTCTCACTTCTGAAATGCTAGCAGTTTGGTGCAATATGCGGTATACTCGTGTCTCTTAGAACGCGTTATTTTACGCTCATAATTATAGGCCCGTTTGCATTTAGTCGGTTTTCATTAACTTGCTTGACAGCCATTTTATTTCGAATCAGACTACTACTACTGGTACTACTACTATTAATATTAATAATAATAATAATAATAATAATAATAATAATAAAATTTTAAAACAGGGATTATCATGAAATATATCAGCTTCTGATTATGTATGTTGGTAGTAACTTGCAGAACTCGCATCTAGTAAAAAATTGAAATCCAAAGTTGCATAAAAACGAATTCAAAATTTTTCAAAGTAAGAAAACCGATTCTGAATTTCAATGACTTCCTTGAGGTCACATACGAAGTTAGAACTAAAAATTTTATTATCAATACTTGAACTTTGAATTACAAGCAGTTTAAACGAATTTTTACAGCATTAAGTAAATTCTCATAGTTGGATAGAACAATAAACTAAGAGCTATAATGAACAACTGAAGAGCAATCGTTCAATAATGAAAATACGACGCTCCTAGTATATGTATAAGTACTATGAATAATTCTGCTAAACTATGGAATTTAAGTTGCGAAAAATTTTTGGAATGCCAAAGCGTAGCTTAATACGAAAAATCTTTCTTGAGCTTAATTTTCTCAAACAAAGGCGTGAAATTATATTTGCAACGTTTCCTAAACTCGCGATAAAACAATGTTTCTCGTTTAATTCATTTATTGTTATATGAAAATGCGGATTGATGGGTAGATAAGTTAGCATAGTGATCGGAGGTCTTTACTCGAAGATGAGCTTCGCATTTTGCACCTTCTGTTTGCAAATGCAGATAAACTATAGATAAATACTTTTATCAGTATAAATTTCAGACGTTAGCTATTAAGCTAAATTTGTTTACTAATTAGTTTAAATGGGGTAAATTCATGTATGTTAATCAAATATTCAGTTAGTTACATACGCATAATATAATTAAATAATAGAACAATCCAAATGATTAAAATTTTGATTGCCAGTGATTTTACGAACAATATATATATATGCATATATATATATATATTAATATAGATTTATGTTAGTTTGAGTCTCGGTAAGGAAATGGCAGCGTTAAAATTCAGTTGTGTCTAACCTTAACATGATACCGAATAAAAACGGAAACAAGTTACCGGTAAAGAACGTGGGCTCTAAAAGTAAAAAAGAATAGACGATAAACTGCCATATCACGGTAGTTTTGCGAAGCCCATAAAAATGAAAGAAAAATGAAAAAAGGAAAGAAAAAACGAAGAAGAAAAGAGAGAGAAAGGCCGTCGTCGTTGGTCGATGCATGCAAACGGGAGCAATAAAAATCTGTCGTAATAAAGCGACGAAAGGGCAAGAGAGAAAAAAGTGTTGCTGCTGGAGAGAAAAGGCAGGCGGTCCCAGTGTGAGCGTCGCGTCAGTCATAAAACGTTTAAGGCTTGCTGTCGTAAAATCGCTCACCTGGAATATCGAAGCTCCGTAAGGCGTGCGCCAGGCGTTGAGGAGATTGTCCTTGCCGGTCGAAACGAACCACTTGCCACAGGACGCGAATCTCAATGACAGCACGCAGGACTCGTGCAGGTGCAGCTGGTACTTGTCGGGCTTTGTCGCGTGAAGCACCTCGACGTTCGAATTCTCCATGCCCACGGCTAGCCATTCGCCTGTCGGACAGTAGCCCAGCGAGAAGATCTGCGAAGTGAAGTCGTGTTGCTGCAACTGCCTGCCCTCTCTCAGGTCCCACGACCTCACGGTATTGTCCAAACCGCCGGTCCACAATTTCGAACCGTCGGCGGAGATGTCGATGCAGGAGGCGCCGTCCGTGTGGCCCTGGAATTGCCGGACCAGCGACTGGTTCTGCAGATCCCAGACGGCGATGTTACCGTCGCTGCAGCAGCTGAAGCAGACTTTAGAGTCTGGAGAGATCGCAAGGGCATAGCAGGCTGGTGCCGAGGACGTGAGCTCGGATTTGATTCTCGGCGTGGGGCTGGCCAGATCCCAGATGCTGAGTTGGCTGGCTTCACCGCCGACGATGAGGGTCCTCCCATCAGGCAGTAACTTCACCGACCTGATGTAGTTGTCGCGCTGGAGACAATCGAGCTGAGATACGGGCTTGGCACTGCTGCTGCCGCCCTGGCTTATGTCCCAGACCTTGACGCAGCCCTTGCCGCCCGTATAAACGTACTTGGTCGGGTTGGAGATCGTTACGGCGCAGACGACTTCGCCATGGGTTAGGGTGTTGATTTGACGCGCATGGCGTGGAATTCCAGCACCTATGAGGGCGTCTGGCGGAAAGGGCACTGGCACCATCACGTTGTCGTTAGATACGTGGAAGCTATAGGCTCTGTAAAATTTGTAAAAGGACGGCATCGTTTTAATAATGCAATTCGTATCCAACTTACGCTACATTGTGACCGTGCTGTGATAGTTATGTATATAAGGTCGCGGTTAGGGCCAATATCAGAGGAGAGTCAATAATCTTTAATCATGGATAATATTTTTTAATCGCGCTTTCGAATGTGGATTATTATTAATCGCGAAGGATGTTATCTCATTTGAAAGGACTTTATAGAATCAATTTTAGCAACGTTTATGCTCTAATGTGCGCTGAGAGGCAGATGCGACATAAAGGGCAAAAGAAATTGCATTCGAATTGACGAGTAAAACATCGAATTATCCACGTAGACGACGAAAAGTGAAACTAAAAAGTACATTACTCTTATTTATATTGAATTTATTTTCAATATTCAGGCTTAACAGTACGTCAATAAGTATTAAGTGGATTTATAATATTTTTAAACTTACAAATCTTTCAAGATCAGGCGTATTTCATAAATATTTATATAATATTGTGAGCTACAATATGTTATCCTATAAATTTCTGCGGCACGATAAGCAATAACATTGAAATAGGTATTAGTTAGTCGTCTATTTAAGCGAATGCACTATTACTATTTTAAGATAAAGTTTTTAATAATTCGACGTTCGGACAGTAGTAGAGATTGAGAAGCACACAGAAGATCGCAATTCTCATCTTTGCATTGATATTCGTGGCATCAAATGTTATCTGATCACATATCGGCAAACAGGAGAAATAAAACACGTTGAATTTCCGAGAAAGACATTGGATTTTGACTAAACGAAATCCCGTTAATGTGGTCGACGATAGCTGATGTATAAGAAACGGTTCGGTCGAAAGGAGACTTACGGCTTTCCTCCAGGCACCGAGCCGACGGGCACTGGCGGCACTCTCATGGCTCCGTGCGGGTCGTAGAGCTGTTGCTGAAGGCTAGGTGGCGCCCTCGGCGCTGCATAAGCGCTGTAAGCCATAAGCTCAACGTGTGCCGGATGTTGCGAGCCTGGGGGAAGATGATGGGGCGGTCCAGGTGGATAATGGGCCGGGTAGGCGCCGGCGACGCTGCCCGGGGGTGGTGGGCCCTGCATTCCGGCCTTGTTCGAGGCTGAGGACTTCAAGGGGTTCGACGTGGCCGAGGTGGGCGTCAGCGGTTTTGAAATTGGGGTCGTCGCCTTCTCGCGATCCTCCATCTTCTTAGCTGACGGGGTGCTGGCATTGCTACTGGTGCCGCTGCGTGGCGAGTGGGGCGGTAGCTCCTTTTTGCTCTGTCCGTTATTGCTGTTGCTGTTGCTGCTGCTGCTACTGCCGAGGGCCGAGACGCCGAGTTTGTCGATGCCGTTTTCGCGGGGCGAAGTGGTGCCGTTTACAACGGGGCTCGTTGGACAGTCGCTCGCGTCATCCACCACAAGGTCCTGATCGCTCTTCTCGCCATCACTCTGGGGGAGGAAAATCGATTATGAAAGTGGGGCTTGTTTACGGTGCTGCGAAGGGGTCGGTAGCCTACGTCACTCTGTTCGCATGATGATTGAATTATTAAAATGACAGATGTGCCTTGTTGCGAAATTAATGTCGTTTTACAAAGTCAAAGGTGTGGAAGATAGATAATTTTTCGATATATAAATTGGTTACTTTGGCTGTGGGGACAGTATTAATTTGATTGTAATTTCCCATTGGTTTTATCTACGAGAAGTTATCCTCGTGTTAGATTGTAAAATGAAAGCATTAGTTTTGTGGAGCTGACTGAAGTTGCAATCTTAATTCGAGAAACATTATTAAAATATAAATATATAATATATAAATGTTCCTCCTTTGTGTTATACGCGCGCGCGTATATAACATTGTCAGTGATAATTTGAAATAGTAAAGTTATATTTATTTGCTGCTACAATATACGTTGTACTCGGAAAATTAGATTAAGATTTATTGTAATTTAGTAGCTATGACATTTTTAAAAATACCATCTTATCGCGCAAGACTTTTGACTTATGGTGTAACTGAACCAGCAGGCACTTGGCACACTTATAATTGATTATATAATTTCATTCCATAGAAACTTATTTATAATTTAAATAATACAATCAAATTAATAGAGTTGAAAATACGATTAAAGAATTACAAGGAATAGCTTGGCGTAAAAGATTTCATTGGATTATGTGTCGAGCAGATTGTAAAAAGGAACGAACATACACATTTTGATGATCGAAGAGATTTATTTAATCAAGCTGCTACCGAATACGTATGCCTTTTCATATTCATTTTTATGTCATTGCTCTTGGTGGACTGTTCTGCTGAATATCCGCTGAGACTTTCGACTCTGACACTGTATGTAGAAAGACAAAAGCGAGACTTTGAAAAAGAGATGAAAATCTTTATCGTTACGTCTGAAGAAATGATGAGACATAAATACCGCTCGCGTTCGATGATGTAGGCTTCTTTGTGGTCATTTCCACAGTTTTCTTTGAATAAAATTCATGAAACTTCAAAGGTCTTTGCTTTCGCATTAGTTAGAATTTATATACATATAAATGGCTAGACATAAAGTTTCTTTCGAGAGAACTTTAATAGCTAAGAAGGACTTGACAACATATTCAACATCACAAAGTTATATGTTCATTTCATCTGTGCTTCATTATCCAAATTACTTTTCATGGAAATCTTACCAACGTTTTGCTTTACCCACTCTCTCTCTCTCTCTCTCTCTCTCTCTCTCTCTCTCTCTCTCTCTCTGTGTCTCAATTTCTCTAAAGATTAGAATTAAATATGCGAACAAGCAGTCTACAGGAAACTAGCAGCAATCCAAGCTCTTAAGAATTTTAATTCATTTTTGGAAGCACGAGGACTTAGCTGATGACAGAATGTAACTTCTTAAGTGTATTATTATACGGGTTGAATTTTCGTTGAGAAATTTCGCCTTGAATGAAAATGACACTATATAAATGTTTCGTAGCTGCGGTAGAACAGAAATACATACGGTATAGCTTAACCATTTCCTTAAACTTTTTGCGAATGTTCAGAACCATTAAACAATACAAGAATACGATGCTGTGCCCTTTTTTTCTCGATAAAATAACTCCAAAATACACGATAAGCACAGGTACAACACAATCGTTCCTTCAATAATGCCGGTTATTTGTGAAGCCACAACAAGCATTGATTGATTTCTCTACGTTACAATGTAGACTAGCTGCAGTTTCTTTTACTACTTTTAGTCGCAATTTACTTTTTATCGCGCCTGCATAATAAAAAATGCCATTAACAGATATGCATGAGCACGAACAAATTTCAGTTTCTATTGTTTAAGATGTATTTGTATCTAAAATGTTAATGCGCCTGTATAAGCACCATGTTCGTAAAAAGGATATAAAATATCAAACAGTCGTTTTTATATCGTGAGTCAGACGTTAAATATGAAAATTTCAAAAGGCATTCAAAGCAACCGTAAAAAATGTGAATTTGAGTTATGGAAGGAGCATTAAAAATCGAAGACAGCGTAGAAAAGCAGTCAATGATATATACTCACATGTCCGAGATCCTTGTCCTGCTCCTTCTTCATTTTCTTGATGTGAATGGGATGGTCGTGATGGTTTTGCGCATGATGGCCGTGATGTGGCTCCTGCGGTGAACGCGGTCTGATATACTTTTCGCCGGGCGATATCGAGCTTCTCTGTAAACAGATACATTTACGCTTATTACAATGTGCCTCGTGTCCATGTACAAAGGTCCCACTTATCGCTTACTAAAGTTTCACGCGTTCCGCGGGAAATCCCCCGACCACTCCGGTATATAAGATCGGAGCCTCGTACCGCATTATAAGTAAGATTATACCCGCGCGCGATGAATGATAAACGCGCGTGTGCATAAATGGCGTTCGGGCTTTTTTCTTTGCTTTTTATTGAGATGGTCTCTATCGGCGATCCTGATCTTTCACGAAATCCTTTACCCGCCCGAGTGCCGCCGAGCTTGGGCTTTAAAGTTGAGCTGCATCACGCTTAAATGGTAACTTAACGTATAATATAGATATTGAAATTAACTGTTAATCGGATTAAATGCCCTTTGATGTTATTAATGCGTAACGTCTGTTCTAAATATTGCGATATTAAAAGCCGCATTATTCAATATTTGTATTTTCAATAAATTGACAAACTCAAAATTATAAAAATTATATTGCAATAATTGGGTAAGATTATTTAAGCCACCGCTTAATTGCAATCTCCTACAAATTTGTCCCTGTATGAAATTTTTATATTTGCTAGATAAGCTTTTAGAGGGGAAAATAATTTTAATTAGCAATGCGTACTAAAATGGAGAGCAGTCACTTCTCTATTAACATATTTGATCGAAAAAATAAACATACCGCAAACGATATTAACATTACACTATTAAATGTTAGAGTTGGCACAATTATTTTTCATTAATTGAAGTGGAATACAGTAGTGCAGAATTTTAATACATTTCCAATATCTAATTAAAACGTTATTAAAAAATAATTAAGGAAAATGTGGATTTGTTCGGGCTTAATTAGGATTGAAATGTAAAATTACTAGCCAATCGTATTAAAAACTTTTTCGTTACCTCTCAAGTTACCTATCTCGAATTGGCATAAGTACTTTAAAATCGAATACAACGTTTTCCCTATCTATAGATATATCAGAATTGCGCCGATTGCAGTTTTACAAAAGCCGTATCACCGAAAACTGCTAAAAAGTGTATCAATGAAAGTATCGAATCGCGATAGGATTGCCGTAAATGAAGTGACAGTCATCATGGAAAATTTTATGGAATTCAATCAAGCCAGAAACTATACGCGGGAGTCAGAGAGAGAGAGAGAAGGTTGAGGACAAAAACGGAAAGCGAGATCGGGAAAATGTGCGTTGACATAAACACAGTCAAGCAATGATGACGTTAAAATTAATCGTCTATTCACCGACGCGGAAAAAAGCGGTCGAGTTGGTGAGGGGGAAGGGACAGGGTGGGAGAGGGAGGGAGAGGGAGGGAGAGATATGAAACAAAACCGCTCGATACTCTTTAAAGCCTTGCTGCATTAAAACGTAATTTTGCACCGCAATGCTCACTCACAGACGCAAATTCGATCGGTGTGGACTCTCCGCTAATTATCCTCAACACAACATTCGTTTCTCTGAAAATATTGGATACGGTCGTTGAAAGCAATTCAATCAACACTATTTCTAGTTCCACAGTAGGTACGCGAAATTTATATACGTAATACGCATCGGCAAGACCCAGAGAGAAAAAGAGTGTTAGAGAGAGAGCTATAGAGAGAGAGAGAGAGAGAGAGAGAGAGAGAGAGAGAGTTGAAGCAAGTGGGGAGTGCTGCAGATACTACAGATAAGCGTTTGAGCGTAATCGAACGTAACGAAGCGATGCTTTAAAGTGGGCATCGTATCAAGTGGTGATTTCTCGTTCTCCTCTGTCAAGTTCGCACTCGCTCACTCACTCCCTTCCCCCCTCTCTTTCTCTTTCTCTCTCTCTCTCTCTCACTTTTCACTTTCTCTCGATTACTTCTCGTCGATAAATTGTACGACAAATACATAGTACTACGCAGGCGTACGCCACGGTCAGCGAACAAGAAAAAAAGGGGGAAGGGGAGCGAAGTAAGAAATGATGAGTTGAATTTAGAGACAAGGAACGATTAAATCTAAACTTCGGTACATTTATAAACGCGCTTCGTTGTAACATGTTGGCCGTGAACAAATGAAATCTTGTTCCAGCTAGTTATTTCTAATAGAATTTAAAACGTCAAACTGTTCGGCCTTAATTTCTACATTATCAGCAAAGTTTTTGATTTTATTTTTAAGTTTATTAGTTTTATCCGCATCGACTATTCGAAATATTCTAGGCGTATTACGTATATAAATAAAATACTCTCTGAATAATATAACGAATAATTACGACATAATTATTTCTTTTTAATAGAAAATTGATAATATCTATATCGAATAGCAAAAAAGATTATCATTGTGCGTAAGAGCGTTTTATTCAAATAATATGTTTAATAATAATAAATTTGATTTTACTTTAGGCTTTGATTTTAATATTTAAATTTGTATCGCTATAAAATGATTTTGTTAGACGAATATGTAAATAAAACGGACGCAAATCAGCGGCAAAAGATTGCTCGTAAAGTAAGTAGTCATTTTTTACACTGACTTAAGGTTTCCATTAGGAAGTGTAAAAATAAAATTTGTGAGAATATCTGACGTTTGAAGTCTAGAGATCCGAAAGAGTTAATGAAATGCAATGAAATTATTTTAGATGCCAAGATGCATTTCGATTTAATGTTTTATTCCGGTTCCCTTAACACTTTCGGTTGCTTTCTTCTCTCAATGGATTATCTCTTTTTAAATATTTAAAGAATCTTTGATAAAAAAGAGTAGATGCATTAATAGAAATAAAATACAAATTTATTTTCAGCGTGTAGATAATAATTAGAATGAATGTTCAAAGATCGCAAATTAATTTTAGATTTTCTTGAATACTAATTTAAAGTACGTGTCTCTCGTTTATTTATTATTTTATTTATTTTTTTTTTCATACATATATTAGCTATTTCAAAGAAGGTATTTTTGATATCGATGTAAATATTCTCACAATACGATTGCACGAAAGTCTTATAATCTAACCACTTTCACTATATATTATTTATAAAAAAAAAAACTACATTAATACATAATGTAAAATTTAACTCGGCACTTTTATCTTGTTTATAATTAGTCATTTTTTTAAAGATTCACTAAAAAAGGAAACAACCATTTTAAATGAATATAATAATGTTTTCACTAATGATGCAGAACATGTAGATGGAAATTTTTTAATTATACTGCGTGATACTATTAATTCAAAAGTATTCTTCTTTCTTGTATATCTTTTTGACGTACTTTATAGATTGTCGATAATTTATACTTGAAAGCTAAATTGAAAAACTCGTTTTACATATCACGTCGCCAAAAAGAAAACGCGGGTCGAAAAAATGTTTATACATCCAATTTGGCGGAAGAAGAAGAGAGTGGCGGGAATCGAAGAGAGATACGAAATTTCTGGAAAAAGTGTACATAAAAAAGTGTACGTATACATGTCAAGAAAAAGGAAGATGTAGAGGGCAGAGTAGACAGCAGACAGGCCCGAATTGAGAAGAGAAATATGGTAGAAGATCGAAAGTGCGCCAGCAGCAGAGGTGGAAAAGAAAGCTAGAGATGAGATAAAAGGTTGTTGCTTTGGAGGAGAGAGGAGGGAAAGATTTTCAGAGAATCAGCAAATAAACAAAACTCCCTTCCCCTCCACACCACCAACTCTTCCCGTCGCCCGTCATTCTTCTACCATCGTCCCACTTTATCGGCTGCGGAAGCGTGCGAGAGAGCTTTGAAGAAAA